TTAAATTTAAAATTACATCAATTTTTTTATTTTATCAGAAAAACTGTGGTAATTGTGCTTTTTAGAATAAGAGAAAAATTTTATAATTATTAATGAGGTTGGATAAAATCATCAAAAGAAGAAAATTAAAATATAAGAGAAAAAAGCTTCCGTGAAGTTTTTTTTTTTGTTTTCAATTTATAATTTCAATAATAACGTTTCTTTATTGAAACGCAATGAAAATGTACATAACAGAACAATACAACAATAGTAATTCAACTGACATTAAAGAATAACATGCTTTATTAATTTACAAAATTCTTTATTGAAAAATAAAAAATAATTTCGTCTGATATGTTATATTCACACTGAATGTTTTCTCACCACAAAGCATCATTATCTCAAACAATTATTGTATTAGGTTTATTACACTCTTTTAACCATTTTCTATTGTATTAAATATAAATCTTGCAACTTTTCTCAGAGTGTAAAATATATGTACCGCTTATATCCGACCGGTTAGAGTAAGTTCACTTTCCATGTTGTTTCAATATATTCAACATATTCCTAAATTAACGGATACTGAACTTTAAAAGCAAAAAGAAAAGAAAAATAAGAAGAATCAAATAATATTCTACATTTAGAAACATGTATGGGAAATGTTTAATTTCACTCCAAAGTCAAACGACACAAGATGTAGAGCATATATCAAATGTGTATGCATACCTTATCTTTTATATGCATATGGAATAAATATTATATTGAAGAATGACATACATATCTGGAGTAACTAGACTAATGATTCAAACTGTGTACTTTCAAATATGTACAACATCTCATTACTAAAAATAAAAAGTGAAAAAGTCATTTTAATATCGACAAAGATCATAAAAGCAAGCGTTACTAATTTTTCTATTTTGATATTCCTTACAGATATAATGTTTCTTTTATAGTTTATAAACTAATGGAGAAATTCTTGATGACCATTAATCTATCTGTGGAAGATGTTACAGATGAGATTATTGATTAATGATCATTTTTCAAAAATTTCGTCAAATAATTCAACTAAATGAAGAGTCGTTTTTCAAATCAGGATTTCCATACAGAAATCAAAATTAAAAAATTTATATATACTTTTCCTGGTAAGATTTCAGATAACCTTTTATAGTGAAATTTGAAACTTTCCACGGCCTATAAAATATCTTACATCTAATACAGTAATTAATGTAATGTAATTATAAACAAATCTGCTTTTTAAAATAAAATCAGTGAAAAAATGTGATTTAAAAACCTTGTAGTAATGTCTTAATAAATTAGGGTTGAGAATCCTGAATGGTTTTTTGTAAAAGAATTATAAAATATTGTAGTAAATTCTTGTAATAGAATCTTGAGTAATAAACATTATAAGCAGAATTAAAGTAATACTGTTTTTTATTTAACTCAAATAAATTATATTTGGTTTAAATAAAATTTTTCTCTGGGTGTGGACTAGTATACGGCAAATGTTATCTTAGATCTGCAAACCTCTACACTGAGAAAAACATATATTTGAGTTAAACATATTTTGTTTAAATCAAACAAAAAAATCAACTAAGAGCCAAAACTAATGTAAATACTGCGTAATCCTTTTATAATAAAATAAAAATTATAAAAACTCATAAAACTATAATTTTGTTAATTTTAAAGTTAATTCTATTTTTAATTTTTAATTTTTAATTATTAATTATTAATTTTTTTAATTGTTAATTTTAAATTTCTAAATTTTTAAAACTTAACTTCTTATAAATTTCAATGTGCAGCATTACTTTTAGAATGTTATTCACTTTAACAACAATTTTTATCAGATGAGTTATTTGAAGAAATCTTTGTAATAATACGCCAAAACTATTCTTAGAAATCATGGAATTTATATTAGAACTCATAGAATTATAACTTTTTAAAATTTCACTGTAGTATCTCTAACGGATTTTTTGTTTAGAGCAAACAATTTTCAGAAGAAAATAGTACGATTATTTGTACAACTATATTTATAAATTTCAAGGTGTAACATAATTTTCGTATTCTTCAATGTAGAGCGAATTTTCACCTTTTTATAGAATTGAATAACAGAATTATTAGAATAATTATTTGTCAAAAAGACAGAATTTTGATTTAAATTTACGTAGAACAGTTTTGGAAACTTTGAATTTTAAATTTTTTGAAAACTTTTTTTTGAGAAAGAACTCGTACAACTGCGATTTGAACTCATAGATTTTATAAATTTTGAAAATGCAGCAGGTTTTTGAAATTCAAAAATTTATAATAATTAAAGATAACCGAGTGATAAGATCATTATTTTCCACTCAAAAAAATATTTTTACTGTAAATTCTTCAAAATTACTTTCAAATTATTTTTAACTAAAATTTTTCTTTAAATCAATTATTTACAATAATTTTTTTAAAAAATTCTCAGAATTTTTAAATGTATTTGTTTATACAATTTAATTTTACGAAATTTCATCGATTATTCGGAAATTCTTCCAATTAAATATATATTTTAAAATAAAAACTTTGAATAATTTCAATTAAACATTTTGAAAAAAAATAATTCTACAGAATTATTAGCTAAAAATGTGAAAAATTCAAATTATCAAAGTCTTCAATTTAAAACTTTTTCAAAATTCAATTATTTCTAAAAATTCACGCTACACTTTTAATATTTAATTATTACGTAAAACTTTAACTGAAATTTACTAAAATCAATTTCTATTAGAAAATTCTACGAGAATTAAATTATTTAAATAAAAAAAATAAACAATTTATATTGAATAATTAAATGTTTCTTAATATTGAATTCTCATAAAGAATTTTATCAACAAACTTTTAAATAATTAAATTTTTTCGACGAATTTTAATAAAAAATTTTTAAGAATAATTACATTTTTCGAGGCATTTGATTAAAATTCTACTAAAAATAATTGTAATTCTGCGATGAGTTTGATTATTTATTTATGAAACTAATGAAATTATTGCGAAGAAATTTATAAAAAATTTGTAAAAAATAGAATTCTTGTGAAATTATTTTATTATTTATGAAAATAATTAAACGTTTGCGTAGAATTTTAATAAAATTTTAAATAATTGAATTCTTCTGGAAAATTTTATTAAAATACTAGATATTGAATATCATTGAATTTAGAAAAAATTTTGCAAATAATTGAAATTTTGCCGAGAATTTTATTAAAATTTTTGAAAATAATTAAACGTTTGCGTAGAATTTTAATAAAATTTTAAATAATTGAATTCTTTTGGAAAATTTTATTAAAATACTAGATATTGAATATCATTGAATTTAGAAAAAATTTTGCAAATAATTGAAATTTTGCCGAGAATTTTATTAAAATTTTTGAAAATAATTGAATTTTTTAAATTATTTGAAACTTTTTCAAGATTCAGATTTTTTTTTTAGTTTTTTTAACTAAAATTCTTTACGATATCTATATTATTTTAATCATTAACATAAAAAAAACATATTTATATTATGTTGTGGTGTTAATAATCTGAATCAGAAATAAAACGCACTGAATTCTATAACATTGAGTCTAAATTTTATGATTACACTTTGAAAAAGGTTTCAAAAAAAGAAAAACTTATTTATTTTTGATTAGAAAAAGGTGAAAAAGTGGTCAAATCAGCGGAAAAAAAAATTCAAAGAATTATTTGAAAACTTAAAGAACTATAAATTTTGAAAATTTTTTATAATACTTTTGAAGATACATCACTTATAAGAAACTTATCACAGGAAAAAAGAAGTGTTATTTTAACATTAAAAGTAGTGTTAAAAGTACACGCAACATTTTTAACCAAAACTGTGTGATTTTAGCACAACATTGGTGTTAAAATAACCATAGAGTGTGTTAAATTAACACTAGAGGGTGTTAATATACATTTTTAATGGGGTTAAAATAACACCAAAATTGTGTTAAAACAACACCATCTGAAAACTACACGCAACAAATTTAACACTTATTTTTTTCTGTGTTTTTTGGTATAGAGCAAACTGTTTGCATATAGGATGATAATGCACTGAGAAAAGAATTTGGTTTTGACAACAAAACGTTTGGTTGGTACTTAAGGAATCAAAATTTTATTGGCACAACAATACCATTATGGTTGCATTTACAAAAGATTTGTCGTCAAAACCAAACTCTTCGTTCATTGTACTTTATTAATATTGTAGAACTCTTAGTAGTAATGTGATAACTCATATCAAGAGAACTCACAGAGTTCTATCATATTTTAACAAAAACAAATCTACACAAGATTAACTTTTGGATACGAAACGCTTGTAGCTTCATTTCTGCGTATATTCTTCAAATTCGCAGTAATGAACAAACAGTTCCTTATCAGACAATAAGTCCATTAAAATATCGATTGCCAATCGGTATAGGCTAACAAGAACATAAAAACATAAAATACATCGCCAACGAGAATTATCAGTTGTTAGATCCACTTTCTTATAAATATTCATAACTAATCAACAACTGAGCCTCTAATTACCGATTCCGCCTTTATACACCTGATCTATCTAGGTCTCCAGGAAGTTTAACAATCTCTCATTTGAATGACCCCCTCAAACCAGAAATAATTCTTTCTTCTAAAAACTAAACATTGTACATTAAAAATTAACATACTTCGATTTCATTCTGAGAAATTTAAAAGGTCTCTAGGTTAAGAATACTTGATATGAAGGTTGCATATATATGCATGACAAGCGAAAGATGGTCAACTACAAACTGGGGGACAATGGCCTGACGACGCGATTAGATGACCTCTTTGGGGGTCTCCACACCACTTTGTAAAACCTCTCTCGTCGAGAGTATTTGGGAAACAAGTGTGTGCGGATACAGAGGCCAGGTCCCACCTTGGAATGTGTGTTTATCCAAGTCTACAGGTATGAAAGCCACCTGTAATATACGCGTAACGGTACAGATGGAAGGTGGCGCCACGTGGAGTTGAAGGAAACTACCTCCTAGGCGAGGTCGACCGCATACCTCAATCTGATCGCGTCCGAAAGGCATCCAGTGCTCCGTTTTGCCTTTCGGAAACACAACATTTTTTTGCATTTTCAAAAAATACGGTTCAATAGAAAAAGTTTTCAAAAACAGTGCTTCCAATTATTCCTCACTGACAAAATTTATCTTATTCATCAAAACTCGAGAAGAAATCTGGATGATACCAGAAATTTTTATTCTCCCTGGTGACATCGATTAAAGATCCTTCTTAATGTGATTCAATGATAAAACAAATCATCAAATACTCTGGATATCAAAAATTATCTACAGGAAGTTTCATAACTTTACAAGTTTCATAAGATTCCATATAGGAAGTGCAATTTGCGAAACGTTTTCACTTTTCTTCGTTTTTATTTGTTTGTTACTACATAGTTTGTTGGGTGTTCATTTAGTGGATTCTGGTTTCTGTGAAATCTGTGCAAGGATTGAATTTCACTGGTGGTTCATAACGCTGGAAATCATTTCTAAATTGCAAGGTAGGTACTATACCTATACAGAATATATAAAAGAAAAAAAAAGTTGTACTTCAATTTCTTGTGCCCTGTGGAGAGTCGTCGTCGTCGTTGATGTCCGGTTCGACTACCTGCATGGTTGGTTCAAGTCTGGACCATCAGGTTGTAAAGAAGAAGCAAAGAAATATTAATATTATGCGCGGGGAGATTAAATTTTTTCAAACGCTTCAATATTTCTTAATTTGAAACATTAAAAAAAACTAAATTACCATTCTCATTACAATTAATAAAAATAATCGAATGAGAATAAAAAAAGGCATGTGGATGTTGACCTTCAATATCAAGCATACATATATTCGAAACCTTGAAAACGAAATTAAATTTCGCGAAACTTATTAATGAATCACTTAAGGAATATTGATACCAATGTTAATTTCTTCCTTATTGCAACAAATAGTAAATTATTCTGGAATTTGTGCAAATTTTTAAGGAAGGCAAGGCTGTTTTCTCTTTTTCTTAAAGCTTGCATATAATATCTTTAACTCTCTCCTATTCTATTCAGAAACTTACGTGTATATTATGAAGGCAATCTGCACATTAGTTTGCAACAAAATTCTATACTCTAATCATCTATTTGCATGTTTATTACCGCATAATTCGTGTCAATTGTATACAAAGGCCATTGAAGGAAAAAATGAATACCTCTTAAAGAAAGATTACTCAGTATTTAGCATTTTAGACAATATTATAGAAAATAACTTCTTAGTCGATAGAGACAAACGTTTCCAGAAAAGCAATAAAATTATGCACCATTTTTTCTCATTTTGCTTCAATTTGCAATACAATTTTACCATATTTATTGTTTCCTTATTAGAGAAATACTGTCTTAATTGAAACTGTTTAAAAGTCAACCGAAAATAATTTTTAAAAAAATTATCAACCTAAAAATACCGTTAATCCTACATTTAAACTATGATTCTACTATTTAAAATTCTTCTTCTTTTACGAAATTAATGAAAAAGATAAAATTCTTTTAGAGAAATAATGACAATATTCGAATATTTTTGGAAAGCGTTAAATGTACATTCAGTTAAAAATTCCAAATGAATTCAAATTTGAAAGCGTAGAAAATTAAACGTTTTCAAATGCAAATATTTAAAAAAAAACGCATTCAGCTCTGCCTAAATGTTCATTTTGACGCCCATTTTTTCTCTTAAACTATAATTAAATAAATTCAGCTAGTTTTTTGTGAATAAATCTAAAATGATGAGGAAGGGTAGTACTAGTGAGATGCAAAAGTTTAAATATTTATAAAATTAATTATTATAAAACACTGTACACAATTATTAGTTGTGACAGTCACTTCAAACCTCACTTTTTCTTTTACCAATTTGAAAGTGTTTTCTAATAATTAATTTTAAAAGTATAAAAACTTTAGGACATACCCTCCGTCATTATGTTTCAGATATATTCGTTAAAAAGCGGCTAAATCCATTCAGATTTTTAAGAGAAAAATCGGCACCAAAATTAACATTGAGGATCTAACAACCACATGCTGCTAAAGCGTTGCATATTATTTGAATAAATTTTAGTGTTTAAATTATTTACTTTAAAACTTAACAATAATTTCAGCCATGCTAAAAATACCGATGCCAACTGTTTAGGTATTTTTTCGAATTAGGAAAATCGAAAAGATTTAGAATCAGTAGGACTGTGATGGTAATCATCCGAACTAGAATTATTAATTTTTAGCGCAAAAATTAAAGAAATGAGGACAGTTGAAACATGTTTTCCGCAAAAGAAGGTTTTTGGACAGTTTGTCAGTTTAAAAGGATAATAAAAATTAATATTTTTACACAATTCTAGTTTCGGCGAAGATGTGGTAAAAATGTAGTAAGAATTGGTTCAGTATAGTTTCAGAGAAAAACATTACACAGCACAAAAAAATGTGGTTTTAAGAAAAACTCGTTTTTGTTGTTCAAAAACGCGCTTAAATAACGTCGTAAAAAATTTAGACAAGGTTCCTACAGAACCTATAGAAATCATGCAAATCCCTATAAAAGAACGATTTTTAAAGCTAACAAAACGGTATGAACCCTTAAATCCTTAAATAAAGGAAACAAAAACAAAAATTAACTTTAATCCTCTATAAAAAGAAATGAAAATTACAGTAAACATGTTATCTGATTATAAAAATAGATAAAGGAGACATTATTTCTGAGAGATATGACCTTGCAATAAGAGATGATGAAGATGATAAAAATTGCATTAATTCATATCGTTAAGGACACGCAGTGAAATGAAATGTCATTTGCAGTTGAAAGCATGGCGGAGATTAAAATAGCAAGATGGTAAATCATCTAGCGTGGAAATTCACTGTGACGGATCTTCAAGATCCGTTCAAGGATCTGTTAAGATTCCTTTCTCCACCTCGTGTGTTAGCCGATTAAATCGTGTTCGTACAAGAGGATCCTTATTCGCGTCACGTTACTCCATCGAGCCAACACTGCACTGCACTCTGTGTCCTTATAGACCAAGAATTATCGTGACAAAACTATCGCTCGTATCATTCGCATATTCTCTTGGACAATAAGGACAGTTTATAAGCTTCAGACAAATGGCGACTTATCCTATTTCATTTTACTCTCTGTAATATTTCACTTTTTGCATCTTTAGATCACTCCTAATGTCTATTGTAATCATTAAAACAATTTATTTTACACAAATATATATATGCCGCATTCACAGGGTTGTCACGCTTTTACACTCACGGAAAGAAATCTTTACCTGGAACAGCGATAAGTTTCTCTGGAATAGCGAAAGTCTTAACTGAAACAACTAAAACTTTCGCTAATATAGTCAAACTTATATTTGTTCCAGGTAAAGTTTTCTTAGCGAGCTTTTCAAATTCCCTGACTTTTCCAGGTTTTCCAGGTTAAAAAACGGAATTTTTCCAGGTTTTTAAAACGAAAATTATTCGAAAACATCAATAACTTAATTTTTAAATAAATATTTAATCATTATTTTTTTTAAAGAAATTAAGATATTCAAAAATTTGAAATTCAATAACATATAAGAATATTATTATAAAACATGAAGATATCGATCACTCCGAGTCAAAAATTATTTTCCTCATTACGGTTATTCATTTCTAGAATTTTCAACTGAAATTCTTCTTTAAGTCAATTTGTTTTAATAATTTTTAAAAAAGTTCTTTGTAAATTTTCAAATCCCTTTGTTTACAATTTAATATTACGAAATTTCGATTATTCTGACATTCTTCAATTGAATATATTAGAAATTAAAAACTTCAAAGAATTAAAAAAAATTTCATTAAACTTATTAAGAAAAATTAATTCTATAGAATTCTTAATTAAAAGTATGAAAAGTTCAAATTTTCAAAGATTTTAATTTGAAATTAATTTTTAAATCAATATTTATTAGAAAATTCTACGAGAATTCAATTATTTAACTGGAAAAATAAATATTTTATTAAGCAATTGAAAGTTTCTTAAAATTGAATTTTCATAAAGAATTTTTAAATAATTGAATTTTCATAAAGAATTTTATCAACAAATTTTTAAATAATTAAATTCTCTTGACAAATTTTAATAAAATTTTTAAGAATAATTGCACTTTTCGAGAAATTTGATGAAAATTGTATTAAAAATAATTGAAATTCAGGATTGAGATTTATTATTTATGAAAATAATTGATTCCCTGTATAAAATGTTATTATTTATGAAAATAATTTGTAAATAATTGAATTCCTGTGTAATTTTTATTATTTATGAAAATAATGAAATATTTTTGTAGAATTTTATTAAATTTTTTTTTAACTAATTATTGAATTCTTTTAGGAATTCTTATTAAAGTAGTAGATATTAAAAATCATTGAATTGAGGAAAGTTTTTAAAAATAATTATAATTTTGCCAAGAATTTTATGAAAATTTTTAAAAATAATTGAATTTCTGCAATAATTTGTAATTGCTTCAAAATTCAATTTGTTTTAGTATTTTTAACTAAAATTCTTCGATAAATCCATTATATTTAATAATAAATTAAATATATATTAAAAAATTTAACTAATTTCAGAAGAATTTTATTTTAAAAAGTTTTTTTAAATCAAAGTTTTTTTTATATTTTTAATTAAATTCATTTAAAATTAAATTTTAGAAAATTTTAAATCAAAATCTTTTGAATTTCAGCTACATACTTATGAAAATTGTAAACGCACGGAAAAAACGAATAAAATAACTTTTACTATAATTTTGTAGTGAAAACTAAAATCAATTTTTTTTGGGTAAAAGTTTGCTTTAAGTTGAAAAATTAAACAACAATGTTATCTTTGAAATTTATAAGAAACTAAATTATTAAAGATTAGAATTTTAGGATTTATTATTATACCTAATTTTTTGTGAGTTTTGATAAAAAAAAAGTTTTACATCACGTTACAAATAGATCTACAAATAATTCTACTATCTTCTTCTGCAAATATAGTTTGCTCTATAAACGAAAGCACCGATAAAGATACTACACTGAAATTTTAAATATTTAGAATCTTATGAGTTCAGATTAAAGTTCCTTATGTTCTAATAATAAATAGGGCATCATTACAAAAATTTTCTTAAAAAAATCTTAATAACAATTCTCTACAAACTGAAAATGCAAAAAAATAATGCTGCTTTTGAAAATAGAAAACAAAATTTTTGAAATTTTAAGATTTTGAGTTCTAATTATCTAAATTTCTATGAGTTTCGATTAGAGTTCTAGAATTAAAATTACAAAGTGTTTACTACAAAAAATCCATTCGAATTTTTTATCAGTTTGCTTTTGAGTAAAAATTTAAATAAACGACATTCAATTTTGACCTATTAATTACTATGTGCACTTTGACATTTTCAAAATTTAGAGTTCTATGAGTTCTGACTGTGTGACACAAACAGTATTACAAATAATCCTAATTTCAATTAGCTCTAAAATGTTAGCTCTAAGCAAGTTAACACTAAAAAGATGCTAATTA